GAATATTTGGATTGTGAATCAATAATTTTTTTTAAGTATTTTTGATGTTTTGAGTGTACTTTAGCAATTTTAGACATGTATGTTTTGACTATTTACATATATTTGCAAGTATTTTGAACAACTTCAAAGTATTATATATGTATTGAATGTTTTTTATATACATTAAATCTAAAATAATTAATATATATAGGTATATAAATCTCTTTCGGATATATTCGGGTACCCGAAATATTTCGGTTCGGGTCGGGTTCGGTTTCGGTTCTTTAAATACCAAAATTTTGAACCCATTCGGATATTAAATAAATTTCGGTTCGGATTCAATACTATTTTTTCGGATCGGGTTCGGTTCGGTTCTTCGGATCCGGGTTTTTTGCCCAGCCCTAGGAAGAACCAAAGCTGATTTCCAACATAACCTGACATCTATTGCTTGTCTTGGGGCTTGGTATACAAGGGAACGGAATCCTCATGCAAGTCTGGAAGGTAAAAGTCTCAAAATATTTCGTTTCTTTCTCTCCTTCCTTTGGCATCCTATAATGAGAAAATAAAATATTGAGATGATTTCCTGAGAGGCAGAGGGATAGGTACATTACCCGTGATCCCACTATTCTAAATAAAAGTAATGATCACACATTGTGGAAGCGAGGGAGAGGTAAATTACCTATGATCCCAATATTCGCCTACACTTTGTCAAAAAAGCTATAAAAGTTGAAAGATCAATAAGATGAACATTAGTTGTTCATTGGGATTGAAGTAAGGAAAAGAAAGTTTCGGATTCAGAGAAGGGGGGTAAAGAGAGAAAAGGAACCAGGATGAGAATGCCTGAAACTTGTTTGAGTTGAATCCAAGTGTTCTGTGATCGATACTCTCAAGGTAAAGCCTACACCATTATTTTATGCATAAATGAAATCAGTATGGGGATAGACAGACATGATTGTTTAAGTTGATTGGCTAGATGAATTTGGTTGCTAAGCTAGGATATGGTATAATGTACTTCTGTAGTTAGTAATATGAGATGTGGCTTGCAACAAAGTAGAAGTGATGATTTTAAAGTTAAGATTTTATTGAGTCCCTACTGTTTTTAAACTTCTTCCAAAAGACTACTGATGGTTTGCTTGACGACAAGCAAAAGGTTAAGTCTGGGGGAGTTGATATACCATGATTTTGACCCGCTTTTAGCCATGGTATTGATATGTTTTTATAAGTTTTATATATGTTTTGGAGTCTATTAGGTATGTTTTCAAGTTCAGGAGCATTTTGGAGTAAAGTGATGATTAGGTGCCCTTATGGAGCTTAAAGGAAAGTTTTCCAAGATCACTATGAAGATCAGACAACAAGGATACATATCGATCAATACACACCCTGTCTCATCGATCGATGACGCTTCCGTAGAAGATGAAGTCGAGATACTCCATCGATCGATGTACACCATGTACCATCGATCGATATGAAGCGTGGAGAACAAGTCTAACTTGGCCGACTTGAAGCCCAAGTTTTCCCAATATTACAATAATGCCCCTGATGAGTTTTTAACCTAATGGAACTCATATTTATAGTTTTTGCCTATGTGTTTGGCAAGGCATGCTTTCTTGTACTTTTTGTATGCTTTTGAATTCTTTTGTTCTTTTGATACTACTCTATACTTAGGAATAAAGTATTCTTTTCATCTTAATTCTAAAAGGTCATAGAATTCTAGATTTAGAAGAAACACACAAAGAGATTTGTTGTTCCAAGAACCAAGAGTTCAATCTTTTAATCTTATGAATTTCTATTATTACCTTGTTGTTATGAATCTCTTAGCTATGTCTGAGTAGATTACTTTGTTAGATTTAGGGTTCAAATAGTTATGAGGGATTAGCCCCAACTATGGAATGTTGAGTTGTTGATATTCATTATCCAAATGAACTCTAATGCTTACTCTAAAGTAGCTACCTAGAGTATGATCATGGATGTGATTTAACTTGTTAATCATTGTCCTGGAATCATTTGGCATAAGCTTAGATCCTCTAGGGATGTGCAAGAGCCGGTCTATGATCTTCGTGAACACAGTTTCGATTCGATCCTATGCTATATCGATCGATACTCCTATAGAGTCATCGATCGACGGCAACCCATATCGTTCGATATCGCTGTCAAAACATCGGTCGATATTTCCGGCAATAAGATCAATGGATGAGTCTATTTAACGACTGCTATTAGATCTGTCTAAGAATCGAAGTTCTTATATATCTTGCAATAAATTCATTAAAACATCTGTAGCATTATAATCATGATTATTTGAATAACAACCTTGAATCTAACTACTTTCTTTTATTGTTTTAAACCAAAACCTATTCTCTTGAGCAACTTACCATTGCTCACAAACTACAATTTACTATTTTAACTTGGGTCCGAATGCTGCAAAAGTGAAGATTGAGAAGGTGATTAACAGAGACGCTTACTTGTCGAGACCAAGTGAACACATGAACGTGATTGGCGATGCCCTGTTTAAGACGATAACATGGCCAATTTCTAAGGTTATATTGTGTGAAGTAGCAGGACCGTCTAAAGGTTCATCACCTAAGGTACAATCAGTTGCTAAAGGAGCAGTACCATCTAAATATTCATCATCTAGAGAATCATCACCTAAGGTAAAACTCTACACATAATTATCTATCTTTGAGTATATTGCTTTCTTATAGTGATGATTTGTATGGATTTTTAACTTGTAGAGTAGAGGTGACAGCACAAACACACGTGGCTCTCCTAAGAAGAATTGCTTCTTGTTAGACTGCTTTGGATCAGGTCAAACGGTTGCAGAACGCAAGGTTTTATCAAACAATCCAGAAGACAAAATACATTTCGTTCCATTGGGTCCACATGCTAGCAAGGTCTGGATTGAGATATGTAAGGTTGATGATGCACGCGTATGGAGACCAAACTCAGAATTCCAGATTGTTGCTGATGCATTAGCTTCGACAGTCGCTTGGGCTAATGACAAGATTGTCTTTATGTGAACTAGTGTCTTATATAGTATTAGTAGAACTTGTTTGGTTGTGGTTTGGTTGTATAAGACTTTATGTTTTATTTGGCTAATGGAACTTCTGTTTTCGAGTTTTGATGGTTTGGTAATGTCAGTGTGGTTCTATAATGTACAACAGACACAAGATTCCAATTATACAGCAAAACCCAGATACAAAATTACAGAAACGATGACAAAAAAACAATTGCTATATTAAAACTACTAATAACATCAAAATAGTGCTATATTAAAACAAGTAATAGCAAATATTTTATGCTGTTATAAGTATTACAACTGCATAACCACTAAAACGCTATGGATATAAAATTTTAGCGTAGCATAAAAATAACGCTATATAAAGTCTACGAGAAAAGATTGTGGGGGAAGACACGGCGTTTGCCATATCGCTGTCTTTATATGTAATAGCGTTTTCGTTACGATATTTACGTGACATTTTCTTGTAGTATTTTGGAGTCTCTCTCCTCCCACCCCATCCTTTCCCGACTCTGCCTCCTCTCATCCCATTTTTTTATTCATTTTCTCTTTATTTCTTTGCATCCAAAGATTAATCTTATAAATAAATGATACATTTTATTCGGATACATTCCCGATATTCGATTATGTTAGTTTTTTTAGTTTTTTCACACGTATTAAAAAAGATTAGTGTATAACAACAAATATCTTTATTTATGTGTAAAAATAACTTTCTATGATTTTAGACCAATAATTCTAATCAAAACTTCTTGAACTTACCAATTTTTTCTTTTTTAATTTATATAATATGCATTGAAAACCTAAAAATATATATCTTTGTGAAATAAATATTTTTCTCAAAACATTCATGAAATAGAGAGAGTAATATATTTATCTGATGACGATAAATATATTATATTTATTCTTGTTTACTTATTAATCGGGTCAAATTTGACATTAGAACTGATGGATTTGCCATTTACCTTTTTCAAAAACCAAATCATCCTCATAGTGTGTTTCTGGCAGATTAATTTCAAACGTGAAGACAGAAGATCTAGGACTACGTACTCTTCTTGCGACTGTTGTTTTTCTAAAACCTGAACTAAAGAAAATGTTTCATTTTCTGTCTGAAACTTTAGTAACCTACTTGATTAAAGTCTGTAAAATGTCGAGTTTTTAAAATCAACTACAAAAAATAATAATATTTCTTAATTTTTTCTGTAGATAATATATGATTTAATTTGATTAAAAACAGCGAATAGATCTATCGGAGAAGAAACATACAAAATAGATGTTGCAAAATATTAATATTTTGTAAAAATGGCATTGTAAAATATTAATATTACCTAGGATATTTTGCTCTAAATTTTTTTCTCGCGTGTAAAAGAAAATAGTGACATGATTCTTTCGTCTCATTCGCATGACTATTGTATCTTTAATTACTGTGATTTCAGTTGTTCATAATTCCACCACTTTAATACAAATACTCGAATTTTATTTTAAAAATTCAGGGAACAATGCAAATGAGAATATAATTTTCATTAGCACAATTAAAACAATTATTGTTATGAGAAAATGGAAACGCAATTATATCAAAGTTTTAATTAGGTATGAATTTAACAGTTGTATTTGTTTGACAGATTTAAAATTTTTTATATTTATCTGAAGATTTTTGTTTCTGTAATCGTTAACAATATATATATATATATATATATATATATAGTGAAATAGAAATGCTAAAACCTTCAATTAGATAAAATTATAAAACAACCCGGACATAGTTCGAGGAAGGCCCTAGTTATCTTTAAAAACGTCTGACCAGACGCATAGTTTTTTTTGTTATTCATTAATTAATTAAGAGAAATTACTTAAATTGACTCTAAACAATCATGAAATAACTAGATTAACTCATATAAGTTTGAAATTACTATAATAACTTTTAAAACGTGCAAATTTACGATTTTGCCATTATTCCTAGTTAAACTACAATTTAAAAAAAAATTGAAAACACTTTAATATTATACGAAAAAGAAAATTTACCTTTAACCCCGACGAAAGAGACGCAAAGCTCTCCTCATCGTCTCCGTCTCTGCATCTCCAACTCTCTTGTTTTCATCACAACCAGATTTGTCTCCACCACCTTCGTCTGCGTTTATGTGTTTCTCGATAAACCCAAATTAAGTTCGTCTCAGTCACATCGGCTTCGTCTTCGTCTATGTGTTTCTGGACAAACCCAAATCGATTGTCTCAGTCACATCCGGTTTCAGTTGCAACTTACTCTAATCTGTAAGTCTTTAATCTATGCTATTCGAGCTGTTGTTATTGTACATTAGTTGATTCCATGTACAAAATTTGGAACCCTAATTCCCAATTTCCTATCTTTCCTCAAGAAAGCTCCTTTCTTATTAAACCAATCACCCACCCTTCTCTCAACGGCGACACTCTCTTCCCGTTCTTCAACAGCAACGCGTCTTCAAAACTAATACTGGCTTTAGTGATGATGATGATGATGATTGCAAAGTCTCAAGCTTTGTCTGGATCTGACGATGTTTCGCTAGATGAAGCGGTTAGGAGGAAGATGGCTTCAATTTTCAAATCTATTAGTTTTGCACATTGCAGACAGCTCTAGCTTATTCCCAGATATGACTCATCACGCTTCTCAATCTCGCATTGGTAGATGCAACACGAAACTAAGACTTCAGTCTCGGCAGGCCGATGCTAAGCTTGATTCTTATAAGCGGGCAGGTATGTGATGTATATTGTTCACTCGTACTGCGTTTCCTAAATGATTTTTTGTTAATTATTCCTAACTCATTCTAATTGTGGTCACCAAATTTTCTCTGATCTGAAAGCTAAGATTCTCTCGTCGCAGGTAACCGTTTGTCTCCGGTCACAATCTATGCAATCTTGCAGGGTTTTGATGACACGCAGAAGGACACGAAGAAGATTTAAACGGAAATTTATGCTTGGGTCAGTAACGATGATCCTAGTATCTACGATGAATGGGACTTCAATGTTTGTTTTATATATTGCTAAAAGATGATAAACTGTTTTTAAACCATTTTTTGGCGGTGGATCTTGAGATTCTATGTGTGTGTAGGAATGGAGATTGCTTCATGCGGATAAATTCGTGTAGACTTTTAGGAACGTGTTGGGCTGGAACATGAATGCAAATGGGAAGAGAAGAGAAGATGTGTATAACCATTAATATTGTCTTATCTTTCTTGAAAAATAAATAGACATATAAAATGTTACTTCCTAGCTGCTAACGAGTGTTCTTGAATCTTGAATAATGTATGACTGTGTGTTTTACGTTGTTGGAGAGTTTTGGATATAAATCAAGAGTTTATTTCCAGGCTGTTCTTGTCCAGTTTAGTAGTTATTCTTAACAATTTTTCCTTGTTTTTTGTTGAGATTTTCAACATTTGATTGTATCATTTATCGTTGTATATGAAGTTATAAATGAGCATGGACACAAAACTTGGCAAATATATTCATACCACAACAATCTAATCTACTATGTTATTACGTTCCCGAAAAAGGGACATGAGAATTAGGTAAATAATTTGTTAGTTGCAAATAATTACGTTTCCGAAAAAGCTTATTTGTTAGTTGCAAATAATTTACTAACTTGTTCATTTTCCACTTCGAATAATTTTTTTTTTCTTTTAAATTTCCACTTTCCGCGGACGAGAATGATGTTATCAATAAAAATTGCAAGAAGTGATTATATCACCATATAAAATGACATTTTGATAAGGAAAAAAAGAGGGATTAAAGAGATGACAACAAATACCAAAAATTTACTTAATTTTGATTTTAGTTAACCTAAAAATAAATCAGATTTTAAATTAGCAAAAACTGGGTTAAACTTGAACATTAAATTAAGTTTGGTTTACGTAAAACTAGATTTTTATCAATAAATCTGCCACAACATAAATTAGAAAAGTCTGCCACCACATAAACAAAAAATCTACCAACAATTTTAAGTCAGATATATAATTCTGCCATAAAAAATTAAGTCGAACATAAAAAAATAAGTCGGTATCTAAGAAAATAAGTTGGTCACAAAAATTTGCCATTTAAAACAAATCTGCTACCTCATACGACAGATATATTCTTAAAAATCTGTCTGCTATTCAAATCGGACAATTAATTCTGCCGTGAAAATAAATCTGACATTTTTAAGAAAGTCTGACCCCACGTTAACGGTGGACTTTGTTTTCTATACAGATTTTATAAATAGATTTATTACTCGATAGACTTATTTTTTTATAAATAAATCTGCCGTCGATCAAATGTTAAGGACACTTTGGTAATGTTTGTTTTTGTTATAACTATGGAAAAGGGCAATTTCGACCAGAAAAGCATTCTAATAATTTTTGAAAAATATGAGTCATTCAGTAATAACACGATAAATTTGGGTCATTTTAGTAAACTTCCCATTAATTAATTTCTTTTTATTTTGGAAACACTTAGGCAATGAATGTAACATTGTAACAGTTTAGGAAACGCTTAGAACAAATTTCATTAGCATCAGCCTAATAAAATAGGCTTTGCTATCTTTACAAACAAAGCCCTTGTCTTTGTTATACCGGACGTCTTCATCCTCACTTAGAGTCCATGGCAAAGTTACAACTTACAAGAGAACACACAAAAAAGGATTTTTCAATATATGATTCCACTGATGGTTGTTACGATTTTGAGCTTTTGAATTCAGATATAGTTTTATGGGAGTTTACTCAAATAACTCAAAAGTTTAGTACTAGAATAACTCATTATTTTTAAAAAAAATACTAACTTTTTTTTTAATGTTGAAATTGCCCTTTCTAACAGTTCTAAAAAAATGTAATATTATGAAAAAATGTTGAAAAAATGTAATCTAACAGGCCATTGGATTTTTTAAAAAAAAATTGACGTTGACAGGTTTGTTTACGAAAAATAAATCTGTCGATATATAAATCTGCTATTTAAAAATATTGTTAAATTTAAATTTGCCAAATACTTGGTGGCCGACTATAGAGACACATCTTTTTTGAGGAGGCTATTTATCTGGCCAATTTATGGTTGTCATCAGATTTATATGTTTTAGTCTGTCAAATGATGTAACTGATTTTTAAAACTTCCAGGTTTATTTTGGATCAGTTAGTTTTTTAAGACCGATTTAAAAATACCGGCAGATTTGTTTAACCGATTTAGTTTTTTAGTCAATTTTTGTATTCGTTTGGTGGCAGACTTTTTAAATTTCTGTCTTTGACGGCAGACTTGTAAATTTAAATATAGTTACTAGACTGGGCCACACTAATTATAACAGACATAACCACTCGAATTTCTGATTAAATTCTCATAGATTTTATTTTATTTTGTATTGGTTCCGGTTTAGATTAATTTTGGTTTTAATTCATTTTTATTTGGTTTAAATCAATTTAATTTTTTCGTTTTAACAATTTTTAAACAATTAGGGTTTACCCTTCTTTTTGTCGTCTTCTTCCTATTGCCTCTCACACAAGAATACGTGAGACAGTTTCATGGTGATTAACGACATGAGCTTTTAATTCATATTGATTGGAGATATGAATCACATAATTCTCATCTCTGGAAACTGGAAAGTTGAGAAAACTAAGTGGTCATTTGAAGTAGATAATGAGAGAGGTAGCATATTAGTTGCTGCGAATGAAGAGACTAAATTTGAATATTTTGTGAAAGACATATTTGAGGAATATGAAGTTGATTTTGCACAAAACTATTTGGAACTGAAGTATTTATTTCCGAAGCGAAATTCACACAGTCAAAGCATGGATGCACCTGTCAAGATAGGAAACGATAGGTAGTTTCATATATTCTTGGGTATGTGCAAAGTTGATAACCTTCGTCTATGTGTAGAGTTTAAAGCAGAAAATATTGCTGGGGAAGAACTGGCGAAGATCATAAATAACTCATACAGAGAGATGTCTTGTTGGGTGAAGAAGAAGAAGAAGATGCGGATGAAGAAGGTGATCGTTTTGATTACTGCGATGATTCTGACGGAGCAACATCTGATGATGAAAACTTTACTACATACGGGCTTCTCCCAGACCATGTAGAAGAGGTTCAGGGATCTTGTACAAACATGGTTATGCAAGAGTCCAGAAGACAAAAGAAAGTGAGCCTCCAATGAGTTTGGAGGATTCGCGGTCATTCAAATTTGAAGTGGGGCGAATTTACGATTCGAAAGATGTATTGGAGACTCGTCTAAAGATATATTCAGTTGCTCAACGTTTCGATTTTGATGTGGAGAAATCTAAAAGGGACCTGTTTCGTGTAATATGTTGAATAAGAGGTTGTACGTGGAAGCTTAGAGCTTCACCTGTAGGTGAATCGTCAAAGTTTACAATCCGAGTATATGTAGATGAACATACCTGCTCCGTAATAGAACGTTCATCTCATTCCCGAAAAGCTACTCCTGAGATTCTAGGACGGTTGTACAAACACTATGTTGGTGGGGTTGTTCAGTCTGTTTTACCACGTCATGTTGCTGATGCTATGAAACTGAGCTTCGGAACCAAGGTCGACTACCTTTTTCGCATCAAATATACTTTATTTTCTTACCTTTAAATATGTTGTTTAAATGGATTAATGTTGTTTTATATATTGTAGATGGTTTACTGGAAAGCTCGGCGTACACTTATAGCTGCTAGAGATCTCGTAAGGGGTTCTTCAGAGAGTGGATACCAGGAATTACCTACTTACCTCCACATGATTACAATGTCAAATCCAAAAACTTACACGCGACTAGATGTTGATGCAAAGAATATATTTAAGTACTTACTCCTTGCATTCGGCGCTAGCAATACTGGTTTTCCATTTATGAGGAAGGTTGTGGTGGTTGATGGAACGTTTTTGCAAGGGAAATACAAAGGAACGCTTATGATTGCAAAATCACAAGATGGTAACTTTCAAATCTTTCCAATTTCGTTTGCTGTGGTTGACACAGAGAAAGATGAATCATGGACATAATTTTTCCGCCAACTTAGCCGTGTGATACCTGACGATCAAGGACTGACGTTAATCTCTGACCGACACAAGTCAATAGAGAAAGCTATTTCAGTGGTCTATCCATTGGCTAGTAAGGGAATTTGCACATAATGTACCAGTTATATAAAAACATCTTGTTACGCTACCGAAGGTGTGATTTGTTCGGATTGGTCAAAAATGCCGCATCTCTTTTCGGTTAACTGACTTTCAAGCAACCTTCGAGACAATCAAAGAGTTAAATCCAGATTTGCATGCATATTTGGAATGTGTTGACGTACATAAGTGGGCAAGAGCTCACTTTATAGGTGATAGATATAAACTTTTTACCAGTAACATAGCTGAGTCCATAAACATGCTTTATCTGGTGCTAGAAGCTTGCCAATTGTTCACCTTCTAGAGTTAATACGATTAATGATGACACGGTGGTTTGCAACAAGGAAACATGACGCTGAGTTGATGAAAACCTCTCTTACTCGTGGTGTAGAGAAGGTGTTAGAGGTAATATATTTTCAATCATGTTATGTGTTTCCTTAATTGTTTGTTGTTATACTAAGCACTAATATTCGCAGGGCCAGATACCTATTGTGAATCTACTAAAGGTTCAAGCAATTGATATGCACCAGTCACAAGTGACTGGAGTATCGTCTTTACATGTTGTAAATCTGACCGAGAAGACCTGTTCTTGCCAAAGATTTGACCTGGAGAAGTTACCATGTGCTCATGCTATAGCTGCTGGCGAAGCTAGAAAAATATCTCATATATCACTTTGCCACCATTACTATCGCAACCAGCACCTTTACAATGCATATTTCACTGATGTTTTGCCCAAAGATGATTCTGTTCAAATTCCAGAAGATATTGCGGTGAGAATCTGCTTACCACCTGATGTCCGCCAACCACCGGAAAGAAAAAAAAAATCAAGATATAAATCGATTTTGGAGAAAGTTGCAGATAAGAAGCGGCCAAGGAAGGAGCACATATGTAGAATTGGTAACCAGGTGGGACACAATTCTACTACATGTCCTCTTAAGTGATGAGCATTTGATTTAGTTTGAGGATTTGGTGTTTATTAGATTTCATTTTGGTATGTTTTAGTTGTTTTTTGTTTCCAGACCATTACAATCACAAGCAGTTATTTGATTATTACATTTACACTAGTATATTTCATTTAGTTGGTATGTTTTAGTTGTTTCCTGTTGGTGGTGTTTTAGTTGATTGCAATCAAGAGATTAACATGATAGTCAACATCTAATATAAAACATCAATAAAACCTGCTTAATTATTCATCCATAATTCATAAACTAGAATCTGCTTAATTGTATATCAGTCAATTTAAAGGCAAAAAAAAGTAAGTACATCCGATAAAATCAAAAACCAACAAGTTATACATCCATCTAAATGCAGAAAAAGCAAGTACATCCGTTAAAACCAAAAACCACCAAATTAT